ATCTATTTATTTTGATTAATAATTCTATCATAAAAAGTCTCACTTTATCTTTTAACTTTTTTTAAAGGTAAACATATTATCCCTATATCCTTATTTTGAAAAATAAAAAATAAAAAAATAACAATTATTTTAAAATAGAGAATGTAAAAAAGAGTAAGAAATCATTAATTAAAATTTTTACTATTTATTTAAGGAAAGACATCATTTAAATACTCCCTTCATTCAAGTTTGGTTTTTTTAATTAGATAACAATACAAACTTAGTTGAATTGGTATCCACTAATTTGAAAACCTTGATTTGTGGTCTAAATGAAATATTCAAATTTCTATGATATTAAATAGCTAATTCTCTACCAACGATTTAAATAACTCAGTGATCATCTCCTTTTACTGAAAGTAAGAAGTATTGAATTTAAGTCACATGACATACGAGTGAAGTGAGATCAGGGATCAGAGATTAGAGATAGTTGTCTCCCATTGTGCAACCAAGATAATATATATATATATGCTAACCCTCTAATATTAAAAAAAAAGTTTTTTAAATTAGATTTTTCTAGTATACAAGTTAAGAACACAATTAATGTACTTTCTAATCATTAACTTATATAGAGAAAATAAGATTTAATTTGAATTTTATTAACTAATCAATTAAATTAATACAATCAGAGAAAAAATCAAAAAGAGTATTTTTTTTTAAGAATAATATAAGTAAACTATAAATTGTTCTTGAATCTTTAATTTGAAAAAATAAAATAAAAAAATAATTATTTTAAAACACAAAAAGTCTTACATTAAATTTTTCTTTAAAATTTATATAAAAAAAGTGAAAAGGGGTAAAAAAATTAAACTAAAACTAATTAAACGGGAGTAGTGTTTTTTTTTTTTTTGGGCTTTCAAAGGTGGGTGGTACTTTATTAAATGTTTTAACGTGTCCAGTAAAGAGAAATCAATTTAGTAAGCAAAACAACGAAGTAAAAACAGGAGTAATTATATAACGAGCATGAAGATATCAAAATAATAATTATAATAATGTAAACATAAAAAAAAAAATTGTAATAATGTAATGCGTGGATCCAGGGTCCTTCCTCCAAACAATCTTCCCTACCTATCCATTTTTATTTCTTTTGTAGTATCTTTCCCATATATATTGCTCTTTTTCAGTCAAGCAAATGCCTTCTGCTTTGAATTTGCCTCCCAATTTGTACATCTGAGCAATACTTGTCGAATTCCAATCTTTTAATTGAAAAGAATGAAATTTTGTGGTCTGGCAATCAGCAGGTATAATCATGTAAATTGAAAGTAGAATGACTTTAACATTTTATCCGTTGTCAGTTAAAGCCAAAACATTTGCAAATCCACTTGCACAAACATCGTGCCTCAAACCCAGTAAGTGCGTCATCTTAACCCTTTCCCTCAAATATGGAATAACGTGTTTGGGATGTAAACGTAAACATGATTCTACTCTCTTTCCTTGAGTGCTCACAAGCAAGTATTTTATGTTTTAACACAAAAGACCGCTATTTCAGAAACTCTTCTTTTCTTCCCCTGCTTTTGAGCACAAGTAAGCCTGACTCATCACTTGCATATACAACCATTTCCTTCTCTTGTTGAATCACCTCATACCTATACTCCTCCATCTCCACCATTATCAAACATTGTTGACGCCCAAAAGGAACCTGTAACTTCTTCATTTATTATCCTTTGTTTTTATTCCTCCCTTCCATCTATATAAACCAATACTGAGTTTTCTCCTTTCCCATCTACTGCTTAATTATTCGATCCATCGAACAAACAATCAACATGAAGAACTTTGTTCTGCTTGCTTTCTCTGTGGCTCTGCTTCTGGGAGTCACAGAGAGTTTCGATTTCCACAACAAGGATTTGGCATCTGAGGAAAGCCTGTGGGACTTCTACGAGAGGTGGAGAAGCCATCACACGGTTTCCAGGAGCCTAGACGAGAAGCACAAACGCTTCAATGTGTTCAAACAAAATGTCATGCACGTGCATAACACCAACAAGATGGATAAGCCTTACAAGCTCAAGCTCAATAAGTTTGCTGACCTCACCAACCATGAATTCAGAAACAATTACGCCAGTTCCAATATCAAGCATCACAGGATGTTCCGAGGAGCCCCACGACGAAGTACCGGTAGCTTTATGTACGCCAACGTACGAAGTGTTCCTCCATCTGTTGATTGGAGGAAGAAAGGCGCGGTCACCCCTGTCAAGGACCAAGGCCAATGCGGTAATTACCATAAATTTATACATAATTCTCCTTGATTTTAAAATGTTAAGGTGCTGAGTTAAACTCAAAACCTTGTTAATTGGTGTGGTTGCAGGTAGCTGCTGGGCATTTTCAACTGTTGTAGCGGTGGAGGGTATCAATCAGATTAAAACAAATGAATTGGTATCTCTATCTGAGCAAGAGTTGGTGGATTGTGACACTGAACAGAACCAGGGATGCAACGGAGGCTTGATGGAACTTGCCTTTGGTTTCATTACTAAAGAGGGAGGCATCACAACAGAAACTAATTACCCTTATTCAGCTGTTAACGGAACTTGTGATGTTTCCAAGGTTCACATTTTAATTAGCACTAATTTACCGTCTGTTCAATGAGGTAGAACTCTTGATAATCAAATCCCGTGTTTTTGCAGAAGAATTCTCCAGCTGTATCAATCGATGGGCATGAGACTGTGCCTGCCAATGATGAGGAGGCACTGGTCAAGGCCGCTGCAAACCAGCCAGTGTCAGTTGCAATAGATGCTGGAGGTTCAGATTTCCAGTTCTACTCAGAGGTAAACTTTGTAGTTTTTACAAGCTAGCGTGCAAACACAACCTTTTGAGGAGGATAACAGAGATATCAATGTCTTAGCTAGTTTGGTTCATTTTGGCTGCAGGGAGTGTTTACCGGAAGCTGTGGCACAGAGCTGAATCATGGGGTTGCAGTTGTGGGATATGGGACAACTCTTGATGGAACCAAGTATTGGATAGTCAAAAACTCCTGGGGAGCTGAATGGGGAGAGAAGGGTTTCATAAGGCTGCAGCGCGGCATCCAGGACAAGGAGGGTCTCTGCGGTATAGCTATGGAGGCTTCATATCCTGTTAAGAACTCCTCCAATCCTATTCCATCTTCATACACCCCCAAGGATGAACTCTAAGCAAAGCAATGTTGATAAATTGGTTCCAGCTCTGCTATTGGTCTGAGCTGATCTAATATCTCTTTCTGTATTCAAATTTGCATGTATTGTTGATCATGGTAATAGAAAATTACTGAATAATATTTGCTATTAATAGTAGCTAGGAAGATATATTTGGCTATGTTCCAAATCCACTCCCAGGAGAAAGATTCACAAACATATCTTATTAATTAACAAGCGAGATTCTAAGATCAATGTCTTCAGAGTGCGTACCATAATTTTAACTTAATAGACGCAACAGAGAAGTCCAGAAAATGCTAAAACCTTATTTCGAACGTCATATCAAAGCTTATTTCGAACATCATATCATCTCTGTCAACCGCACCTGATGGGGTCGTTGCAACCCTTTTCAGCAGATTGCTTCAACCCGTGACGCCCTCCCTTTTCCAGATATTGCTGATGGTACTCCTCTGCCCTGTAAAATCTCTTAGCTGGAAGAATTTCTGTCACAATCTTCTGATCCTTCAACTGTTCCTGTTTAGATCCTAGAGACTCCCGTGCTAAACCAGCCTGTGTCTCATTGTAGTAATATATCCCCGATCGATATTGTGCACCTACATCTTTACCCTGCCATATCAAAGGACCTTAACATAAACTGCCTAGCGTTTGATGGGGCCATAATCCAACCATAGAGAGCGGGAAAAATGAAACGATTGTCATACCACTTTAGTTCATACCATGGAAATTCCAAAAAAAAAAAAAAAAAAAGGTAGTTCTGACACTTTACCTTTACTTTTGCATGATAAATAAATAAATAAACTTTCGCTATTTTTTCATAAAGCCAAACGGGGTGTTTGGTTTTTTTAAACAGCTAACTCTAATTAAATAAATTTAGATACTTTAAATTATAAATAATAATTATCCATAGTTAAATATTATCCATCCACTATCACATTTATATAAACAGCTAGTCCAACCTCCAAAGGCAAAAAATTGAGGCTCGAGTTGCAGGGTAGTATAGAAATACGGTTGCCTTTTTGGAGATATTAAAGCAACAAAATGGGATCACTACAACTAATTCTAAGAGACCTCTATATCAAGTATGGACTGAAACCCTAAATTATGGCCTGAAACACTTTCTGGTTCGATAAATTGCAACTTTCTACTTTATTCATTCAAGGGACTAGACAGGCGATCCATACCTGGCGATTGAGGGTGGTCGGATCGTGGCGGGCCCAAAAAACAGAGAGAAGATTGGTATAGGGGCAGACTTTGGGGTCAAACTGTATACGGACTACCTCGACGTGGTTAGTGGTGCCAGAGCACACAAGCTTGTAAGTGGGATCCGGAACATGACCCTGAGAGTAGCCCACTTCAGTTTTGATAACGCCCTCCACTCGCTGAAACGCCAGCTCTACTCCCCAGAAGCACCCAGCTCCAAACTGAGCAAACTCATAACCGGGGTTATCTGGGAAGTCCAAATCCAGTTCCAGAGCAGGGTTTGGGTTGCTAGTGTTCTCTGCTGCTACTGCCATTCTTCAATTTTCAATTGGAGCACAGCAGCTAAATAAGACTTGTTTCGATTTACTTCTTCAACGTGTAATTTATTGGGAAATTTTAAAGTATGGATCTAGCCATTTTGCACGTCACATTCAAAGTTAGAGCCGGCCGTACCGATAAGATACTCCTCGCCACAAAATAATTTAATTATAATATTTTTTTATTTTAATAATATATTATTATTTTATTTTAAAATAATAATAATTTTTTAATTTTAAATTTATTTTAAATTAATTATTTTTAAAATAAATAAATATTTTTTATTTTAATTTTATCATTTACCTATTTATTTTGATTAATTATCTTATTATAAGTCTTACTCCAACTTTATTTTTTAATTTTTTTAAAAATAATATAAATAAATACACAAATAATTTCTAAATTCATTATTAAAAAAATTTTAAAAATAATTATTATTATGAGACAAAGGTACTGCATATTAATATTTCAATTTTACCTTTCTTTCTCCGAAAAAGATAGAAATGCCGCAAATGCATTTGTTATATTCTATTCCTTTTAAAATAACTATTGTTTTAAACTTTTTCCTTAAATTTAAGGATTTAAAAATAATATTTTTATTTATTTATAATACCCGTGAAAAGAAATGAAACATAAAGATAAACTTTTTATAATTAGATGATTAATCAAAATAAATGAATAATAATAAGGTTAAAGTAGTAAAAAAAAATATTGTCTACCTTACAAAATGAAAAAAAGACAATCAATTTAGGATAAATTCAAAACAAAAATACAACAATTATTTTAGAACAGGGGAGTAAATAAAGCTAACAATAGAAAGAAAAGTCCTAATTATTGTAATAAATGAATTTCTCAGTAATTGTAAATATATAAAGTAAAATAATTAAATTTAACCAAAGAGAGTAAATAATTTTTTATTTAAAATTTGTTTCAAAATAATAGTTGTTTTTTTCATATTTTAAGAGACATAAACATTTTTTTCTTATTTTGATCTTATAATTATCTCTTAATTTTAATTATCCATTTTATTATAAAAAATTCTCTTTATTTTTATTTTTTTAAGGATAAAATAGGTAAAAATAAAAATTATCTCTAAATTCTTAATCTTAATATAAAAATAAAAAAGCAATATTATTTTGAGATGCAGGAAGGAGTTACAATTTTCCCCATCTCAAAATAACTATTCTCTATTTTAAATTAAGTAATGAATAATGATAGGGAGGATAAAAATTTTGGATCAATAATGTAGCATATATCATGTTATTAAATTAGTGACAATATCATAGTCCTCAAAAAAACAAAAAAACTAATTATTAAATAATATATAATCTACCTTTTAATATTTTAAATGATATAACTTATAGCACGTCATCAGTTCCAAATTTTGGTTCCAAGTTTCCATCTCATTTATCATTATCCTTTTAAATTTGTAGTAAATTAATTGTCATTTTGAAGTAGATAAATATTTTTTTTCTTACCTCAACCCAATGGTTACCCTTGTACTTTAATTACTTATCTTATCATAAGAAATCTAGTTTTATCTTATTAGAGTATTTCTTTTTTAAAATTAATATAGACAAACACATAAATTATTCTTAAATATTTAATTTAGAAAAAATAAAGTCAAAAAAACAACTGTGATTTTGCTGGAGTGAGTTTAAAAAAGGAATCTTACCTTTTTGCAAGACACCTGCAGTGCCAATTGAATGATGAAAATAAAGGCTGAGGTTCTTTCCTTCTAGTTTCTTGATCAATTTGCCACCACAGACATGGTTGTTGAACCATCAGCCCAACTACAACCAGGATTTTTCTGTATTTCCTCCTCTTCCATTATCATTCTAACTAGAGCTGATCTTTCCCATTCTCCTCTGGTAGCAAAAATGCTGGACAACTGTACATAAGCACTTGAATTCTCAGGATCAAGCTCAATAATCTTCTCTGCCACCTTCTTCCCAAGTGTTTTATCTCCATGTTGTACACAACCTCTCAAAACTGAGGACCACATGTTTGCATCTGCCTTGTAAGGCATATTATCTATAAGATTCACTGCTTCCCCAAGGCAACCAGCGCGGGAAAAAAGATCAACCAGGCAAGAGTAATGTTCTATCCCTGGATTGATATGATAGTCCCATTCCATTGATTTGAACCACTTGCGTCCCTCTTCTACCAGTCCACAATGATCACAGGCAGACAGAATTGCTGTGAATGTTATATCACTGAGTCTTACTCCGATATTCCTCATTTCATCAAACAAAGCAAGTGCTTTGGGTCCACGACCATTAGTAGCGTACCCCATCAGCATTGAATTCCAAGAGATTTCATCTGATTTTGTCATTTCATCGAATATTTTTTGTCCATATTCAACTAAACCACACTTGCAGTAGAAATCAACAAGTGAACTAGAGATTATCTGATCAGATCCTAGCCCAATGACAATAGCTCTAGTGAAAAGTTGTTCACCAAGTTCAAGAGAAGATATACTAGCACAGGCACTGATGATACTAGCCAAGCTAAACCTGTCCATCCTCAAGCCCAGTTTATTCATCTTACGAAACAGATCTAAAGCGTCAATTGGACAACCATTTTGGCAAAGACCAACCATTATTGAATTCCATGATATCAAGCTTTTACTTGGCATTGTCTTGAATATCTGCTTTGCATCTTCAATTCTTCCACAACTGGAATACGCAGTGATCATAGAATTGAGCAAGATTGTGTCGTAGGCTTGGAGCTCAGCAAATAATTTGCAAGCATCTTCAGGCCTTCCACACTTGGAGCAGGCATCCACCAGAGCACTGGCAACAACAAGATCATGAATTACACCAACTTTTCCAGCATGACAGTGCATTTGTTTGACAAGTTCGGACCTGCCTAAACTACTGCATGCACTAAAAACAGTTGCAATTGTAGAGGAGTCCCCCTGAACTCCTTTTTCCCGCATCTTATTAAAAAATGCTATTGCTTGAACTTCCTCATTGTTCAAAACATGTCCAGAAATAATTGAATTCCACACCACAACACATGGATTAATTTCCCTGTAAAAGATTCTTCTTGCATCACTCATTCTTGCACAATTTGCATAACCTGAAATTAAAGCTGACAAGGAGAAGTCATCATGTTCCTTCATTGAATTCAAAACGTGATTTGCAGTCTCCAAATCACCACCCTTCCCATACATGTTAATCAGAGAAGTGCCTAATACTGAGTCAAGTTCCATTCCGTCAATAACAATGCGTGCGTGGATCTGCTTCCCGTATTCAATAGCTCCCAAATCAGTGCAAGCTCCAATAACAGTGGCCAAGACAAATTTATCACCCAACGACTTAATTTCTTTAAACAGCCGAACAGCCTCCGCTGGAAATCCATTTCGAGCATAGCCATGAATCATTAAATTCCATGCAACCCTATTTTTGCTAGGCATGCTGTTGAACAAGTTCAGTGCTACTTTTAGATCACCCTTTTTAACCAACCCCGAAATGACCACATTCCACGAGAAATCATTCCTGCGGGGCATCAAATGGAACAACTCCAGGGAATTTTCCTCACTACCTGATTTCATATAGCCATCAATCATTGTGTTCCAAGAAAAACAATTTCTGTGCGGCATTTCCTCGAACAGCCTCCAGGCATCAGCCATGCTGCCACAGCGCGAATACAACTGTAGGAGGCGGTTGCCGATTGTAACAGTTGAAGTAAGAATACCCTTCTTGAGGAGAAGTAGGTGCATCTGTTTTGCTTGGAGGATTGAATTGTAGGACTTGCAGGACCGTAGCAGACCAAAATAGTATTCGAGATCGATATCCATAAGGATAGCAAATCAATAACAAATATTTTGGCTCCAAAAGATTCAGAGAAGTCATTCACTTAAAAATAGCAGCCAAGACCAAGATAGTAATCATTCACTTAAAAATAGCAGCCAAGACCAAGTTAGTAATGGTTGGGTTTACCTCCCTCTAGAATGAAAATTGTAGAAAAGAAAAAACTCCAGGAAACTTTAGGGAGGTTCGCCGCGTCTAGTTTTAAAACATTGCTTTTCGCCTTTGCTTTTGAAGCTTTGGTGTGACGATATTCATTGGTGTTTTACATTTTAGTTTTTATATATTTTTTATTATTTTAAAAATATATAAAATATTAATTAAAATAAATATTAAATATATTAAATATATTTTTAAAATTTTT